GTTAAGCAAGTCTGGCTGGAATAAAAAAAGGTTTGGCCGATGTATATGAAACAATACTGGACACTTGAGAATTTATAATAAACACATGGTACACACGCATTGCTGATGAGAATGAAAATCGTGTCTACCGCGCTAATTGATACGATACGATACAGACGTCTTATTAACAAAACAGGTTTCGAATACCGACGAATGCGTAGCATTGGTACTTCCAGTGCACTTGCGAGAAACGAGACTCGTCTCGTTTCTGTCAAGACGAGTCTCGCGAGAATTGAGACGCGTCTCGCGAGACGGTGGTAACTTACTTTTGAGCGGTACTGTATATGGATTTAACCAAGCCTAAAAGCAGAGCTCCTGGACCGGGTTGTTCAAAGTTTGATTGAGTCTGAACAATCTCAAACTACACAAAACAAGAGCAGTGAAAAACATTTGTATACAGGAAAAATTTAAACCTAAGTTGACTTTTAATCCTGGGTTAGCTTTAACCAGCTTCCAAACAACTATTTACAACAAGTTTTTAGTCTTTAGTAAATTACTCTACTGTTCCATAGTGTGGTCAAACACCTCGAACAAAAATATCTGTAGACTACAGTCCGTGCAGAACTTTGCCGTGCATATTATTACAGGAACCAGGAAGTTTGATCATATATAACCGCCGCATTAAGAGATCTACGTTGGCTTCCAATTAAACAAAATCTGTTCTCCATGACACTGTCACGGCATTTAAATGTACAATCTATGTATGGTCAAGCGCCCCGTTACCTCAATGATCAATTCACAACAAGAATTGCAGTCACCAGGTGTATGACCCAAAGTTGTCAATTATTAAACATCCCTTTGTATATAAGTGGAGTGCTAGACAGGGAAAATTTTACTACTGTGCACATCTGGAACAATCTACACAATACTCTTAAAGCTGCAAAATCGACTTCTACTTTTAAATTTTACCTGAAAAACTGATAACTTACTTTTTAAATAGCACATCATGATGGTATGTCAGCACATTTTAGTATTTGTTGTATAATGAATTGTACATGTATGTTGTACATGTATGATTATCGTTTAATGTTTATTGCATTCTTTCCTTTTCCTTTTAAATGAATTGTGAAACACTTCTTTTAACTTAATTAGTTTAGTTCTCTTGTATTGTCACTGAAAAGCATCATCAGGGGAGTGTCAATAAACTATTGATTTGATTTGATTTAAGTTAACCTGACATGAGCCTGCGATCCAACCGAAAACTAGCACTTGGTCAGTGGTCAACTTAAAAAAAAAACATTTGCCCTCAAAGAGTTCTAAACTTTAGTCCGTGATATGGTCACATGATACTGGTCAGTGGATACCTTGTTTTGACAGGTGTCAATTGACCATAACATGGATGTCCAATATCAAAGAAGTACGCTATAAACCAAGGCTGCATGTTGCTGTCAACCTATTAGCTGTAGTACGGCTGTCATCTTGCATGACTCCACCATCGTCGTTGTGCGTACACGCCCACGAGCAATATCACTAGCCATGATAACCATGAGAAAATAAATTCATGGGTTCCTTTTTCTTTCCTATATGTGTATGGTGCTCTGCTTGGCGGCCCTTTGGGCTGCTGGAGCTCCACTATGAATTTGAGTATAAAACTAGTGAGAGAATCTCAGATAGTGCAGAGTGCAATTTACGGCTCCGATACAGTAGTCACATAGGTCCTCACCCACGCGATTCTCTCCCTTGCTAGTCAACTAGGCCTTTTCCCCTTGCAGAATGTGAGCGGACAAAAACTTGATAAGATGTAATCTCAGCATTGTGTAAGTTTCAAGTTTGTATTTTCTTTCAAGGCCCAAAAATAACTAACAATTACCATTTGTCAAGACGGCTTTGAATTTTATTGTGGTGTTTTACGCTGAGTTTCACTCATTTTAAATTCAATAAGACACAAAAGTACACAATCATAGTTTTTAGTTTTACGCCAACGTATGTAACTTGATACTTTTGTTTTCCTTGGCAAGGTATGTAACATAAAACCCTTCTTTCCTCAAAAATATAAGAAAGATGTGTATTTGTTACTTACTGCTGGAGATAAGTGGAATAAAGCTACATATCTGAGGAAAAATCGAAGAGGACTGATTTTGTTTTATTCCAAATGCAAATTTTCATTTCACAGCTAAACAAGAACTAATCTAATTATCAAATAGTCACGTCCAGTCACGGAATAGTGCACTCTTGTTCACGGCAAACTAATATACAATGCTATTGATTAATACAACTGAGGAGCGTTTCAATGGAAGTATTGAACGTAGAGATCGTTACTTGTTCAAAATTATATCCTACATCCTCGTTGAGAAGGTCACCTCAAAGACTGATAAAATTGATTGGCAGTTTCATTAAGTGCCACGGAGTCTGCGGCAATAATGGCGAGTTTCTTGTGTCACAAATTTACTAGTTTTACATGTAACTAACGTGGGAAAGTTTCGGCTGATTATATGAAGTTTTTGCTCGCTTCATAGAAGAGGAAATAAACAAGCCGCTAAGGAGAAGCATTCTTTATTTGAACCTTAGCAAACACACAATAGTACAGCAGACGAAATTTCTTGAATCGAGCTAGGGGTGATTCCAGAAGATATGCTGTCACAGTAGCATTATTTGCAATAAAAACAGGAGAACTGACATTACCTGAAATACAGCTGCTATCCCCGGTCAAGATAGTCCAGTTCTGGCCCTATCTCTGTCAAGCAACTTTATGGTAGCGTTGCGAAAATGAAGGCTAACTTATCTGCGTGTGCGTTTCGAGCAAATTGCTTTTGTTCTTAAGAAAATAGCACCACAAGGATAGCAAGAGATTTGCGAAAACACACATATAGCTTTGTCATGTTTTCATGAAATTAGCGTAAGTATGACAGGTTTTGCGTAGTGCACTCTGGTACCTGCCCCACCTAGCCCCCCTTCCCGCAAGGCTAATCGATTAATTGAAATTAATTAATTAATTAAACAAACATTAAAGTTTACACCTTATGGCATTATTACTTCAGTGCCTTAATGAACAGCAGCCCCCTAAACCATCCCAATAGTGCACTCTGCACTAAAAAGTTTATGTATGCATGCATGTAACTTGCCTCTGCATCATCAGCAAATTTACTTGCAGTGATGAAATCAACAGGTATATGAAGGGCTACTCCCTTTGCTTTGGCCTTTGCACAGAGCCCCTGAACTATTTCAGATCCTTCTTCATCAAAGAGTGATTTCCCAATCTGAAACAGAGAAACAGGAGCATTTAATAAGCCTTATAGAGTCTCAGGGAACCAACACTAAACCGAGTATGACTAAATGGAACCCAGAATAAACTCTAGTGAGAACAGGATATATTCTTTGCATGCTAGTTAATGTTAAGCCCATTGATGTTAAGTCAACAATGGTCCATTTTCTGATGTGAAAATCAGTGTGCTTACTTCACCAAACCAACCCATATGAAGTGAGGCCCAGGTTATATTAGGCTCTAGATGAGTAGACCTTGTAAAATGAGGTATAATTATTATTTTCCATTCCTTCCATTTGTACCTTCTCAAACACAGAAAGGAATAACAGAATAAACAAATGGCAGTCGCCTCCCAATATGGTAAATTTTAACATCAGCAACTGCTGGAATATGCTAAAATTATGTTTGTGACAAATTATGCAGTTTACCTCCATATTACTAAGTACTTTAGTAAACGTGTATGCCATTCCACCTCCAATGATCATCTCATTTACTTTGTCCAGTAAATTTTCAATGAGCTGAATCTTGTCAGCAACCTTGGCCCTGAAGTAGACCATAAGACACCGAATGTTACTTATTTACTAGTAGTAATCAAAGATTATGAGTGCGTTCGTTTTCTACGCCTGTAATTAACTTAAATAGCTGTCTGTTGCTGAAATCATTATCTTTGTGAACAGCTGAAGTTTTACAGACAAATGTAACATAATGACAAAGTCCGCTATTTTTCTATAGATTACAGTCAAACCTCTAAAAAGTAGCCACTCTGGGGGACAAGACAACTGGCTGCTTCTTAGAAGTATAAAACAAAACAAAACAAAATCACCCTTGGGATGGCAAGAAGCTGACCGCAGCTGCTTCATAGAGGTGGCCTTTGAAAAAGATGTTTTTATTACAGTGTATAGCTGACAATTTTTTCCCGGATTTTGGCCGCTGGCAGCCAAATAAAAGTTGGCTACTCAATAGAGGTCCGTCTGTATTTTGATTTCCTTGCTTTAATGTTGACACATTGCGTGACGGCTCCAGTTTTGTTAAGTCACAAGTTTAATAGGACATTTTTGCCTTAAAAATTCATGCTAAAATCTCATTTTTACTTTTACTGGCAATTTTTGAGCATAAAGGCTAATTTTTAAAAGTACACTTGTGTTACATCTAGTATTCTAAGCTGGAAGCACAAATATCAGCTAGCATTTGCACTCACATGGTGGTTTATCTGTGGTTTATCGTAAACTAACTCTGTGCAACTGGCAACTGATTCGAATATTTCCGCTGATGAATAGAGATAGTCAGCATTTACATTGCTGTTCCTTAGTTCTGGCTTACTCTTATAGATCTTGGCTTTAGAGTACTCTTCCATCAATTCAATTTTGAGCTTTGTTGAATACTGAACTATTTTTGGCCACTGAAACTACGTAATTTAAGTCGACAAAATTTGTTTAATGTACTCAAAATATAGCCAATGAAATATAGCTGTTCCCATGGTTAACATCCCAAAGCCAAGCGATTCAAAGTCGTGGTCGTGAACAGAATAAATAATTCTTATCTCAGTTATGTAACGAAAGCACGTCATGTCCCATCCTGACAAAAGAGGCCACTCACAGTCCAGAATCAAAACAACAAACAAGCGATCGCGAACGATCTAAAAAGCAAATCATCTTGTTTAAATGTGCTTTGCAATGATGTAATTTGTTTTCCCCTGGCCAAAAAGATCACTCCAGTCTGTATTGGGACTGCATTCCCTTTTTTGTTGAATGAAATCAGAGTGAAAAACCAGTTCAAAGACGTAGGGATAAACAAAAGAAGCGAAATACGACTCCGCAGATGAGATCAGTTGCCGCAAAAATTGTTGACTTGTTGTTAAATTTTTTTTTTTTGGAGAATTCAGATAAAGTAAAAGTCTTGAATTTGGTGTAAAAAAAATAATTTTGGAAGAGATAGGCCCTTGAAGATCTACAGTAACTTCAATTTACAGATACATGGAATACTTAAAGAGTACTATAACCTTCTAAGGAACAGATTTACTTGTTTCAAAAGTTGATAATGGCTGTCCATATTTGTGACTGGATCACTGGAGTGACTTTTTTGAGGGAAAGTGAACCAAGTGACATAAGAGGCCTGGTGATAAGTTGAGTATAAGCTCTTTATGTGCTGGAGGTTGCAATTGTGGCATTCCTGAAGATGTATTATGACAGCACTATTTTTGACAAGACCAGAATGTTCAGCATTTTCAAACAAGGTGCATTCTGTTTTCCTGAGGTAAAAGGGGTTGCATGAAGGGAAAGTGACTAATAAACCACACTAGACTTGCTGAGACGGTTTGGTACTTAAGGACGGTGCCTACTCTTGTTAGTGCGCATACTTTCTGCATATCACGCAAGGCATGGTTTAAGCGCCACGCGTGCACTGGGGTTGACATTGACGCAATCAATTATGCTACCAAATACACGACTACAAGAAAGCTAAATTTTCCTACTGTAACCAAATCAAGTTTAATGAACCCGTACTTAAACCACAAACACCAAAATAGCAGCATATCGCTAACAACTAACTGTTAACATATTGCAGCTGAAAAACTAGCTGCTATCTGGCGAAAATTATACTGAACTCCAACTGTAAACAAGTACCTGCAGATGGCGTAGTGCGTGTGCAAAACAAGTGTGAAATACGCGAATGTTTTACTTACTGGGGAGGAGACAGGAAAAAATGTAACGGGCACCGTAACAGTTTTCAAAAAGGATCAATAACTTTAAAAAAATGTGTGGTTACCCCTAAATTTTATGTTATGAAATGGAAGTGGTAACCCTATTCAACACGAGATTAGTTTCTGGTTGTGAGCAATAGGTATTTAGACTGTACTGCAGTTTTAAGATCTTTATAAATGTGTTTGCTTTTCTGTATGTAAAGGGGAATTCGAAGGAAATCTGTGCCGGAAATATCCTTTCCTTCTTTTTTCAGAAAATGCTGATGTCAGCATTTTTGTTGAGATTCAAGGCTAATTATCTTGAAAAAATGCGCGGCTACCCCAATTTTTCTTTGTGGATTCCAATGGCCCTTGCAAAGATCTACTTTTTCTGTGTGGTCCTAACCTGGTGCAAAAACCTTCGTATTTAGTAGGCACCGTCCTTAAAGGGCCACCTTCAACCGGTATGCCTTGCCGGGGGGGGGGGGGGTATTTTGGGAATTTCTGGGTGGGGATGTGCCGCTGGGACCCTAGAACCCTTAGCCTACACCAGAGCTAGTTCAGCTGAATTTTGCTAACCTATACTAGAGTAAACTCCCCAAATCCCCCCATCTGTCAACACTGTTGAGGCTGATTTGCGCAAATTTAAACTTGCCAGTTTGATTTTTTTATATTTTTGAGTGGCAATTCCTGGTTTCCTTAGTCTAGATAAAATCTTCAACCAACCAGTCAGTTTTGTGAAAAATGATTTATATACCCTATCCTAGAGTAAACTGCTTGAAAACCATACCCTTCACAGCGGGACATACCTATATTGCCCATATATGGCAGTGCCCCCCCAGGATGCTTTGTGACTGTTTGTTTTTCTTTTGAAAAACTCTCATTGTTCAATGTTGAAATCTGATCTTGGCTAATTCTCCATGTGAATTTCCTCTGCATTCCGCATGGTGAGCTTTGATGCACTAGAATTTGCATCCAAACAGCAGTTAAAACATTACAAAGCTCCCACATTCTTTTGGTTTTAGAAGGTTTATTAACATGGAGAATTCAGAATACGAGTTTCCTGAGGACAGTGTAAATTGTTTTGGGTTCTGCGATTGACGACGATTCGAATGATGAACAGGACATGACAGATCGATACACACAAGGTGAACTTTTCAGTGACTGTAGCGAAGTGTTTCGATATCGATTCTATACATCTCTGGGTGATTTTATTTTAAAAAAAAAATGAGACAAAAATGAACATATTCCCTTTGCATTCTAGGCCGAAAGTTAAGTCACATGTTGTTGTGGTGGTCAGTGTGCCTGTAAAAAAGAACGAGAAGCGTGCCCATACAAAGCAGCGAACTTAATGTGCCTTCCTTCATGCAAACGTGACAAGTCTGAATGTAAAATAAGGTGAGTCCACTTTTTTGCTTTTACAGTTGCCAATGGTCATTTGCTTCATGCATAGTTAAGATCTCTTATTCATTCTATCATTATCAGGATTCCACACCTATCACTTAGAGAGGAGACCACAAAACAGTTGTTGCTAATGGTGCCACATGTTTTGAGGGAAACCTCGAACAATCTTGGAAAGACATCCTGGAATGTGCGGTAAATTTCGTTTTTTATATTTTCCAAGTTGTAGTGGTGAAGCGATTTCACTCCATCACTCCTTCACTCAGTCACTTCCTGTTAGACATTTGAAATCCCGTGGGGAAACTCCCATATGAAAAAGTCAGGGATGCATGTCAGAAAATTTGAATTTAACTCCTAAAGGAGACTAATATGGGAGTTGTTCGAGCTTCGTTAGACCCCTAAAAGATACCACTTAAAATGGAATAGGTTTGATTACTAGCCACTGTTCAAAAAAGGATCCTGCGTGCACTTGTAAACCTGACAGAGATCAGCGGAAATCAAGCCCAAGCTTTTGTATATCTCCAGCATAAAACTAATATTTTACCATAATATTTCATTTGTGTTTGTGTAACAGATTGGTGTCAATCTTTCCCAAGATTTTGTCAAAGAATTGGACCAGGAAATCAAAGATGACTTGCTAGTTAAGTTACTTAGCATGGGAAGGGGATCCCTTGACTTTGCAAAGCAGTTGGTTGCAGAAGAGGCTCTTGGCCAACCATCATCGCCTAGGGATATACCTTGGTGGCAGAGTCGTACATGCAGAGCAATGGAAACCAGTGATTTGTTTCACTCCAGTGACAAAGAATCAATCATAGCATGACAATTTTGCGATTAATATTTTATTGTAGTCTTCACAAATAATGTAATGTTCATCAGAATTTTCCTCCAATCAGTTGCTGTTGGTTCTTCAGTTTTGGAAAGCATGTATACACCACAAAGAGTAACAAATTTGTTGACAGTGGTATTGAAAATAAGTTGTTATTGAAAGATGTCATGGAAGTAAAAAAATTTATTTCGTATATGGAAGTAATAATTGCTCACTCTTCTTTTGGGGGAGGTTTCTTTACAAATCGTGAAGGGCCTTTAATGAGTTCTTCAGTGGGGGTGGCTCTTTCATTCCTTGTGTGGGAGCAATTTGTTTTGGGTCAAATTCATTTCTATCAGATGGAAGGCTGAAACTGCCTTGCATTTCAGAATGCCTCTGAAGCATCTTGGATATCAGATACAGTGTACCCATTGAACCAGCTGTAGCTCTTATCCTCTTTTACAACCTCTGCATGGAATTTCTGTGACCGCTTTGAGTATTATTTTACAATGGCCACGTTGAGTTCCCTCTTTCCTTGGCTTTGGTTGGCAGGAAAGATGCATGTTATGATCTACTGCAACAAGCATGACCCTCATGATAAAGTATGGATACCTGTGAAATACTGGCGTTACAAGAAGCTATATTTGCTATGCAGATCACATCTGATCTGTTGTCGCACGTTCGATAACCAAGGGAAAAGAACGTTAGCCGAAATAAAATCTGATGATCTCTGTGAGCGATTGAAGCAGAATTGAAATAAAATCACGACATGGTTTATTTTTGGTGTGTCATGTACTTCATTAATATGAAAATTGAATATGCATAAGTGCGTGCTGAAGCGTTGGCCAAAAGCAAAGTTATTTCTTTAGCCAAGCNTGACGAACAAATAATGGCTGTAAGATTGTGCTGCGCTGACATGCTTATCAGCAATGGTCAGCAATCGATCAAATGCAATATTTTGGCGAAGCGTAAAGCAAATGACTCAGCTGTTTTAGACATAGATGCAGTAATGTTCATAAACGCAGAAAGATAGTCACAGATTCATAGTATTCGACCAATAATAGGTTGTTATTCCCTTATTTGTATAGTCTACCTGTAGCCAACTAGTGAGACAATGTCAGATAGTGCAGAGTACAATTGATAGCTCTGGCACAGTAATCACACAGGTACTCATCCCTGCTCCGTTCACTTGCAGTTTGTATTTAACCTTGGTAGTCTGCAAGGGCTTTTCCCCTTGGCAGTGTGTATGCTTCATGGTTGTAATTTCATCCAAGGTCCAAAAACTACAGTACTTACAATTACTGTTTGTGACCACAGCTTTTACATTTTACTCTGGTGTTTTACGTTGATTATAATTCGTGTTAAATTTAATATTACGTAGTAGTAGCAAACAGTCATAACAATTTCACTTTTCATGCCAATGTTTGTAACTTGATACTTTTGTTTTCCTCGCAAAGGTATGTCAAATGAAGCTCTTGTTTTCTCGAAAACACAAGGAAGATGCATGTGCTTGTTTTTTTCACTACTGGAAATAAAGCTAAGAAAGTTAAATATCTGATGAACAAATGGAAAAGGAATGATTTTGTTTTACTCAAAAAGTACATTTTCTTTTCACTGATAAACAAGAACTAATTTAATTAGTCTTGGAATATATACCACCTTCTGTTGCCATCTTTGTTATTAACAATTTAATACACAATGATATCGACTGATACAGCTGAGAAGCATTTCAGCGAGAAATATTGAAGGTAGACAGCCCTACTTGGCCGAGATTATATCCTACATTGGTGAACGAGTCACCTCAGAGTCTGATTCAATTAATTTGCACTTTCATTTGGTGCCACAGAGTCTACAGCAATATTTGAGCACTTTCTTGGTTTCGCAATTAAGGGAAGAAATAAACAAGCCACTAAGGAGAAGCTAACTAATGTTAACACAATGCTAACTAATTTGCGTGTTTATTTAGAGCAAATTGGTTTCGTTCCAAAGAGAATAGTACCACAAGGAGAGCAAGGGGTTACCTGAAACAAATATATCGCTTTGTGATGTTGACACACAACTAGCGTAGGTGGAATGTATTTTATGTAGAGTACACATGTACCTGTCCCAACCCACCCCACCACTTCCTTGCCTCTTGACTAATTAATTAATTGAAATTAATTAATTAAACAAACATTAAAGTGTACACCTTAGTGCCTCAGTGAATTAGTTCCTTACTTCCATAACGCCTTAGCCAATGGCAGCATCCAAAATCATCCCAATAGTGCACTCTGCACCAAAAAGGTAAGTTTGATGGATCCCAATCAACTCCAACCAAACAGTCATAAGATATCAGTAATACATACCCTCCTAATATAGCCAGGTATGGTCTTTCAGGGTTTCCCAAAGCTTTGGCAAAGTACACTAACTCTTTTTCCATCAGAAATCCTGCAGCCCTCTGGGGCAAGTCAACACCTACCATTGAGCTTCAAAAAATGAAGTAAAATAGTGAGGAACGACTATTCACAGCACAATCTGACACTTGTGTTGCGACTGCTGATTCAATTCAAATGCAGATGTCAACGATTATATCACCACAGTGTGGTGTACTGATTGCTTTGTAGGAAGAATGAATCCTTGAATCAGTCCATTTGTGAACTGTAATCGCTAAGAGAGTAACTTCTAGGTCTTCTCATGTACCCAGCCAATTCAAGATCATTCAGAATAGATAGTTCAGGTGGCTGACAACACTTTCCAGCACTTTCTGGCAGTTCTGTTTTGATGGATCAGTACTACCACACTTAATATTTATTAAGTGATAATGAAATATTGGTATCAGACAAATGCCCATGCCAATCATTAAGTTTTGCTCATCTTCATGGCAGAATAGATTACCGATAGTAACTATACAACCTGTTTAAAACACTCCTTATTTAGCTTTAAGTACTTATGATTCAAAAATGGCTTGGTGACACCCATTTTAATTATAAAATAATTTTGATAAGCATGAAAAGATACAACATTTTGCAAAGTTTTAAAAAAAAAATCCGGAAGGTGGGTTCAGAGCCAGCTTACCTTTGTATGTATGTATTCCTCTAGCTTCCACTTCAAACATTCATCGTACATTCAAAAGTACATATTTTACACATTATAATTTTGTACCTGTGAGCTCGATGAGCTGTGCCAAAAGCATCATTGATATAAACATCTCCAAGCTTTGCTAAGGAATCGCGGAATGCTTTAACTGACTCTGGACTTGCTTTAATCTGACACATTCACATGAAACCACATATCAAGAAAGGGATGTTATGCAGAGAATATTAAAAAGAACACAATGAAGAAATTTCTATGTTCATTACCTTTTTCCCTTCATTATCAAGACCTTTGCCCTCTTCCTCAACATGAAAACGCAGGTTTTCCAGCAAAATCACTGAACCTTAACAGTTACAATAATTGGATGTAAAAATGAAAAGATGCATGTTAAGAAATATAAAAAAAATTGTACTTAATGAAATGTATATTGAATGCCTGGAGTACATGCAAAATCAGCGAACCTTAATAGTTAGCACTAATTGGATGTAAAAATGAAAAGACACATATTAAGAAATTTCAACAAAATTCTGCTTAATCAAATGTATAGTGAATGCCTGGAGTGCATACAAAATCAGCGAACCTTAATAGTTGGCAATAATTGGATATAAAAATAGGTCTGCAGTGCATACTTGTGGTCTTATGCTTAGTTTTATTTCATTCAGTTGGAGTACAGTGTTGTTTATAAATGCCAGTATCTGGGACCCCCCTCCCCTCTGGATTTTCCAAAATCAGCTCACAAAATGGACCCCCTTTCCCCTCTGGAAATTCCATTTTTGTCACATACCCCCCATGAAATATTATCATTCCTTGTGGAAATCAAAAATAAGCTATTTTTTTTAGTGCAAGATACCTAATTTTGATCCTTACCTTTTTTCCTAAAAATTTGGTGGATACTGTGACCAACACATCACCAGAACGTATGTCAACTACCTCAAGGATGAACATTGCAGAATTTGGCATATGAAAATTATAGATTTAATACCATCAATTCCACTTCATAATTTTGATAAAAGAGCATTTACTAAAAAAGTTCATTTCCAAGACCATTGAGAGAGAAATGCTGAAAAAGAAAAGGCTTTACATCGCACCAGTTTAAAGCACAACAATAAAATCAAAATAACATGATTTTCAGTGCATGTTTTGAATCAAATTTTGGTGGATCAAATCGTTGTAAGTATATATCTGAAAGATTCAATTTTATTTGGAAGCTGGAAAATCAGAACTTTCCTGGCGTTTAACAAAGATCTTACTGTTTTTAAAATTTCCAATGAGTTAAGTTTTCTTAGCCATTCTTTTGTAGTGTCCCTCGCAGCTGCGCTGTTATTTGGGTTGTCACATTGCAGTGCCAAATATTTTTCTTACACAACCCTTTGCTCTTGATCTTGCTCTACGAGTTGCGTGAGCGACAAGAATAATAATTCTTCAATTTGCCGAGGAAGTACACCACAGTATTGTGACAGTGAATATTCATAACTCTGGCAGCGAATTCCAGCAAATGTTTGCCACAGGTTTTTATCGTATGAGTACTGAAAAACACACTTTGTTTGGTGTAAACACAATTTTATTTATTAGCGACGGCTAATTGAGACTACGAGATAAACACTGCTTTGGTCTGCTTTATATTTTCAACTATCAGTCCAGCAGTGGGATTAAAAGAATTCAGATCATATTAGTGATATATTTTTGCTTTGTTAATAAATAGTACATGACATTCAGAGGAGAGCAACTGCGTTTGCTACACATCTGAGGTGCCATGCATGAGTGATATTACAACAACAGACTGCATCAAAAATATCTTCCAATTTTAATTGATGCGGTTCATTCAGCCCATGAGGGAGGAGCAGCTTTTGGGCATAATTCACGAGCCTTTTTTCCGTTTTTATCTGGTAAACAATTTCAATTCACAAGCAAACAACTTAAAACGGGAGTCAAACGAATTTTTTTTCCTTTGTCTTTGGTTTTTATGTGGAAATATTGAAGCAGCAAGTTGTTTATTTATCTAATTTCTGCTGATTTATATCGCACACAGCTCGCTTAAAAATATATTTGCCTCCTGAACTATAATTGTTACTGTACTGTTTTCCTCGTTCAAGAATCATTGTTAACAAGATAAGAGGTCTCAGAGGTCTGTTATATACCGATTCCGAATTTCTGCAAATTCAACGTTGATGCACTCTTTCAGTTCAAACGTTATTTTTCATGCTTGCGACGACAGCTTAAAAATGCGACGAAATCTTCCAACTGAAATGATACAGATAGTAGTGCAGAAGTACCTGGTCAAGTGCAACAGACATATTTTCAATCAGTCATGATTAACTCATCTACTTTTCACAACATGCGCTTCGATCACCAGCTGCTACTCGGGAAAATGATGGGACTCTAGCAGTGACAGAATATCGAGCCTAACCAGCACAAAATTTTCATTTTGCACTTTAAATTAGCAAGATTTATTTTTTGCGTTCACGACTCGAAAAGCAAAATGCAAGCAACGAAACTTTACATACAACTGTAGGAAAATTGAAGCTGATCTGGAAAAAAAAATTCATNGGGGGGGGGGGGGGGGGGGATGGATATTTTCTGGAACTACACATTAGTCAAAACAAAGTTCAATATTGACATGTAACTTATGACTATTATTAAACTGAAATCCATATAATACACACAGTAAGGCAAAAAGTATAATAATATTATTATTATTGTCCCTTAACAAAACAATAAATAAATGCACCTTACCCCGGTGATTGCCTGGGCAGGGGTTTTCATACCTGGACTGGGGTTTTCGCATGCTTTTTCTACTGAAGCACCTACACAGTCTGGTAGAAACATCACTTTCCTACAAACAAAATGAACACATTTCTGGTGAGCAGAGTACAGCTTTTGTTGTAAGCAAACTAACAATAACTATATTGCATTAGTATCACCCAACTAGTGGACTAATGCAAATCCTGCATTTTGATTGGCTACTCTATTAGACCCTTCGCCCTCAAGGGCCACGGGTTAATAGCCCATGAGGCTTTGCCTCATGGGCTATTAACCCCTAGCCCGCAAGGGTTATGGGTCTAATTGTTAAATATGGGCGATGGAAAATATTTATGTGGCGTATTTAGTTATTGAGACTTTTTGCACCAGTCCCTTACTAGAAGAGTATCAATAAGAGATCTGCATCTCACTTCAACCCAGTTGGCATAATCCTTCCCTTTGTAACCTCATGTGTTGTAACCTATGCCAGATGATCAAGTTCTTGTCCATGCTGCTTGCACATGTACAGTTCCTTATTCCCTCAATTGAACTTAATTATCATGTGCAGCAGGTCCACTTCATGGAGACACGAATCTGGCACCATTAACGATACACCAGAACTTTCTTTATTAGTCATTTACAAGCTTGTTTTTACACACCCTTTGTCCCTTGTTGTGTTGCCTGGCTTTTATTCATGGGTTTCCTTTAGCTTCCTCTTTGCCCTTTAAGCATTTATCAGTTTATGGGTGCTTTAAACGCCCCACAAACCCTGAGCTTGTGCAGTGCTTTCCCCTTGGCTCCCTTCAAGTGTGTAGGTTTGTGTTCTTAGTCTTCCATGTCTTTTTGTTTCTCATTTAGCATTTGCCTTTATTCCCGGTAATTTTATCCTCTTTTCCCACTCAAGGGCTGGCAACTTTTGGATATTTCATACACGCCATCCTCTTTATCAGTTTCCTATCCCTAAATCTTAAGTTTTATGTGGCTAAGATTTTCCAATTTAAGTTTTGGGTTTTGCTTTTAAGTGTTTGCAATTGTTTCAGGTCTTTTGGCCACATTAAGGGCATGGAGCATTTTGCCATCTCTTATTCAGCAAGCGTCAAAGGGACTGATGCAAATAGTAAGCTATTTGCATTAGGCCCTTACTAAGTGAGTATAAATAAGAGCCCTGCATCTCATTTCAGCCCAGATTGTATAAGAATCCTATTGGCAGCTACAACATGTTGTCTCTCTTTCACACTTGCTTCTACATGCCACTGCACTTCCCATTTCCTCTCCCTCCCTTTCCCTATTCTTTTACACCACCAATTCACTCCAGCATGGTTGCATTTCTCCATCTCTTATTCAGCGTGAAAGGGACTGTCGTGAAAAGGTAAGATGTAAGGTAAAATCTGCATATGGGCCAAGTTGCCCAGCAGGCCGGAGCTTATCCCAGTTTCTGTAACATGGAATGACTAGGAGTATTTCTACTCCCCCCTGGATGGGATGCTAGTCCATCGCAGGGTTACCCCCAGCATTAAGTTCACCAGTACCCATTTATACACCTGGGTAGAGAGAGGCACTGTGAGAGCAAAAGTGTCTTGCCCAAGAACACAACAAAATGTCCCCGGCCAGGGCTTGAACTGGGACTGCTCTATCCGGAGACGAGCACATTAGCCATGAGGCCACCGTGCCTCCCATACTGTAGTGAAAAGAATGCTATCAATCACAATTTTGTGTTTGCTAACCTGAATAATTATGGCACAAATTATGAGGAAATACCATTTATAGTGTACTTTTCTAGACTTCAAAATCACGTGGTAGGTATACAAAAACTGTACGTAAAACTACTGTAGCTTTCATTCAACTTACCAATCAGCCAAAATGATGAGCTTCTTTTCATTTTGTTCCACCATGTGTTTTTTTACACAATGACTTTCTCAGATCTGATATGGGATTGCTTATTTGTAATAAACAACTGTTGTAATGTACATGCACGGCAGCTTAGGTTTACAGCTTTACACGTACGAACAGCACGCATTTCTGATTTCTGCACTGCTGGGACAGTAGAGCATTGTTTCGCGATGTTTGCTCTGTTCAAGGCAAATTTCAATGAAAGCCGTTAAGACTTGCCACTTCAGGGAGACACAAAATACTTTCAACCAAAATTACAGCAAAATAATTTTCGCTTCGTATGAGGCTCATTGACTTGACCGAATTTATGACCTTAAAAAGTCGGGTTACTTCATGGCTCTACCTGGTGAGGTTGATGACCTAAAATTCAACCTTAATTTCTTTAGCTCGGGTACTGTGGTTCAGTTTTGGTCACCCTTTAGCTCTCTGTGTGTATATAAGGCCTTCATTGGGCCCTATTTAGGTTCATTAGAGCCATAGAATTTTGTACAGGGCGCTAGCAAATTCTTGTCAGTCAGTTTGAGGACGTGATGTCAAGTGACAGAGCTTTGGGAGCATGAATAGTGTGACAGGTGGACTGGGTACTAGTAATTTCGAGTGATTGTTTTTGAGAGAAGGCAGCCATTGCTGCATTTGTAGGACATAATCGTTGCCAGCTCTTGCCATATTGAATTGTTATTTTACTTCTTTGCTCAGCGTTTTGGCGGAATTTGGTTGCAGTTTTCAAAGTACTACTAAGTTATTTTCCATTTTTCAATCACTCTGTTGAGCTGTTTTGCCATTAGTTTTCTTCCTGTCACTGATATTAACTTCACTGTACTCGTGAAAAGCTTACGAGATGCCTCATTTATTCTTCGTTATTTCACTCAGGTGTTTCTGAGCATGGTTCCTCAGCGATTGAGGAGGTATTTTGTTCAAGCAAGCTTGGCTTTCAGAATACTGACCTCGTTTCACTTGGAATTCAGGAGATAAACAGAGGTTAAAACATTTTAGAAAATGTTTCGACTTTGTGTATTGAATTGAACTGTGAAAATTGCATAGAGTTCGCGGATCATCCGTACTGTGTTTCGCATCGAACCAAGAAGTTCACTGTTCACTCAGCCTGCCAAACGAACTGAGTTCAGCAACCAAACCTGCATGTTCACCTGGCCTAGGTGCCTAACGCCTAGTCTAAACAAGACGTTTGAAGACACTTTGACACATGATATTCATTGAATCAGTGTATTCAAAAATCAAGGAGTCCATCACAGAAAACATCGACACCAACAATTTCAAAAATTAGCTGAAATGTTTGTTGGTTAGCAATTGAAGATATTTAAACCTTAAGAGTTTTACTCTATCGAAGCTTTCACAGTTCAATCCGTGAGTTAACAGTCATGCTACGTGTATGATTAAGGTTTCGTGTATTCTTGCAGACATTGAGCATACCTGTTTACCAGAATGCACATGTAAATAGTGTTTGCGAGAAGGNCTTTGTGATAAAAAACTAAAGTCATCAATACACTGCGTTCAGTTATAGAGAAAATTGCACAGATGCTGCGGGTGTTGAGTAAATAACATGATCGCTCTATTGATGGCATGTTTGTTTTTTTGCAATCCTTGTGCGCATGCTGAATTGCATCAGCAAAAACGTGCGCGAAAACTGTGTTCGGCCACCTTAAGCGGAAACCGGACTGAATTGACAACGTGGCATTGGATTATGTCCTTGAAATAGTCGATTAAATGTACTTGTATTATCGTTGCTGTATGGAAAGGGCATTATTACAAACAAATTAAAGTTTGTAATAAAAGGTGATGAACTTGAACTTTGGATAGCTTTGTTAACAACCTCAAACTTTATTACAGTACAGAGGAACCGTTGAATGTTAATTGTTAACAAACATTACACAATAAACCTTTATTAAGCCGACACCCTCTATTAAGCCGACACTTGGGAAGGTCCCGAGGACATCCGCTTAGTAGAGGTTTCACTGTACTTGAAAACTAAGTATGAGTCGAAGTGTGTGCTTATTTACACAGACACAGACAGCCTTCTCTTAGATATCCAGACGGAAGACGTTTACAGAGACATGGTGGAAGACATTGGTTTGTATGACACAAGCAACTGTTTACTATTTAAAAGAACACATGCTTTACAGTGACAGAAATAAAAAAGTTCTAGGTAAGATGAAAGATGAGTGCGAGGGAAGGACGATAAAGGAAGCAGTTGCTATAAGGCCAAACATAGGCACGCAAGACGCAAGGCATGCAAGAGTTATTTTTTTGTGAAGTGTTGGAGATAGGAGCATTCATGGAGCTGTTTACAGTAATGATTTGGTTAATTTGACAAGTTTTTTTGGTTGCGATGTACAGCAAGAGAGAAACTGGGAATTAATGATGTACATACGATGTTACATCAGTAATGGTAAGACAGCTAAATAGTAAGCCATAAAATGTTTGACTGAAAAACTACAGTAATCTGACACCTCTCCAGATTAATGTATACACCATCTTATTTTTTTTCTTTGATTTGTTCTTTGATAAAACCCACACTGTGATTGGTGTGACACATGCACATGCATAACTCCCACACTCACCAATCACATAGCCCTTCCAACCCCCAAGAGGAATTTTTGCTCAAAAATACTCAAATTAAGAGACCTTTTCACATTTTGTCTCAAGATTACGCTCTGGTGGTTGTGGAAGCCTGTATTTCCAATGTCTGAGCTTGCTTAATTCATAAGCGTCTACTAATCAAAGACTCAAAGACTGAGTTTTTAATTATTGGCTCCAGCCATCAGTTACCAAAAATCTCAATTGACTCCATTACCGTTGCTGACTCCACTATCCAACCTCTAGCAAGTGTTTGCAATCTGGGCTCCTGGTTTGACACTACAATGTCTATGTCAGTCCATACTGGCAAGATTTGCAGTAAAGCATTCTCTGACCTGTACAGAATTTGGCAAAAGACTAAAGACAACTAATAAACTAAACTAATGCAGCTGCTAGACTAATTGTTAACCTATCCAAATTTGATCAAATCACCTCTGCCTTGTACGATCTGCACTGGCTTCCTGGGATTTATCATGTTCGGCTTAAACTGTTACTTCTTGTTTACAAAGCTCTTAATAATCAAGCACCTGAATATATAAAGACCTTTTACACATAAAGACTAACACAACTTATTGCCTGCGCTCCCTAGACCATAACTTCCTTGCTGTTCCCAGAACCAAACACAGGACATTAATTTTATTTTGGTGATCATGCCTTTGCACACTCTGGACCTTTTCTCTGGAACAAACTAAGACTAAGTCCAACCCCGACTGTCTTTAAATCAAAGTTAA